GGCCAAGCTGTCATCTGGGAAAGAACCTCGTTTCTGGTTGTGCTCGGGGAAGGCCAGGGACTGCCGCCCTGAGTTTGGCAAGGAGGAGGGGACGGTTCATGGTGGTGGGCTGAGCACGTCGTCACCCTGTGCCTCCGTCACGCACGTGGGGAAGAGCCCCCCTCTCCTGGGAGGTCATGCTCCCGCCCCACGCCTGGACATGCTCACTGGCCCTCAGGGCGCTGCCCAAGCCTGGCACTACCCTTCAGACAGTCTTGGGACCTTGAGCACCTGGGAAGCCAGAGTGGACATGTCTCCCCCCAGGGTCCAAGCATAAGGACGGTGACATGCTCAATAGAGGACTGTCCTGTTGCTCCTCTGCCCAGGCACCTTTGGTGACCTTTTCCCCGGTCTCCCTCCCGCCCTTGGTTCTGGCCTCTGGTGTTGCCTGGGCTCCTTGACTGCACTCAGCCTCTGCTTATCGGCTCCTCCGTGGGCCCCTGCACACGGCCGGTCAGCGGCAGGGTGGTGTGGGAGGAGCGGCCTGGGCAGGGGCCTGTTCTGGTCTCACGCTAGGCCTGGGATAAGTCACTGCCTCTGACTGCTGCCCTCTCCTTGGGAAATGGGGACGGTGATGCCAGCTGAGCAGGGCTGCCACAGTGGATTGTCCTGCCCTTCCCCTGCCCACCCACAGCCCATGGCCTGGCCTTCGCCCTGTCCGTGCTCTCAGGGTGGTGCTCATGCCCGGGCACCCATAGTTACCTCTGCCTCGGTTCCCTCCCCCCTGCAGTGCCTCGGTTCCCTCCCCCCTGCAGTGCCTCGAGGGTTCCCTCCCCCTGCAGTGCCTCGGGTTCCCTCCCCCCTGCAGTGCCTCGAGGGTTCCCTCCCCCTGCAGTGCCTCGAGGGTTCCCTCCCCCTGCAGTACCTCGGGTTCCCTCCCCCCTGCAATGCCTCGAGGGTTCCCTCCCCCTGCAGTGCCTCGGGTTCCCTCCCCCCTGCAGTGCCTCCAGGGTTCCCTCCCCCCTGCAATGCCTCGAGGGTTCCCTCCCCCTGCAGTGCCTCGAGTTCCCTCCCCCCTGCAGTGCCTCGAGGGTTCCCTCCCCTCTGCAGTGCCTCGAGGGTTCCCTCCCCCTGCAGTGCCTCGAGGGTTCCCTTCCCCCTGCAGTACCTCGGGTTCCCTCCCCCCTGCAATGCCTCGGGTTCCCTCCCCCCTGCAGTGCCTCGAGGGTTCCCTCCCCCCTGCAGTACCTCGGGTTCCCTCCCCCTGCAGTGCCTCGAGGGTTCCCTCCCCCTGCAGTGCCTCGAGGGTTCCCTCCCCCCTGCAGTACCTCGGGTTCCCTCCCCCCTGCAGTGCCTCGAGGGTTCCCTCCCCCCTGCAGTACCTCGGGTTCCCTCCCTCTGCAGTGCCTCGAGGGTTCCCTCCCCCTGCAGTGCCTCGAGGGTTCCCTCCCCCCTGCAATGCCTCGAGGGTTCCCTTCCCCCTGCAGTGCCTCGGGTTCCCTCCCCCCTGCAGTGCCTCGAGGGTTCCCTCCCCCTGCAGTGCCTCGAGGGTTCCCTCCCCCTGCAGTGCCTCGAGGGTTCCCTCCCCCTGCAGTGCCTCGAGGGTTCCCTCCCCCCTGCAGTACCTCGAGGGTTCCCTCCCCCTGCAGTGCCTCGAGGGTTCCCTCCCCCCTGCAGTACCTCGAGGGTTCCCTCCCCCCTGCAGTGCCTCGAGGGTTCCCTCCCCCTGCAGTGCCTCGAGGGTTCCCTCCCCCCTGCAGTGCCTCGAGGGTTCCCTCCCCCCTGCAGTGCCTCGAGGGTTCCCTCCCCCTGCAGTGCCTCGAGGGTTCCCTCCCCCTGCAGTGCCTCGAGGGTTCCCTCCCCCTGCAGTGCCTCGAGGGTTCCCTCCCCCCTGCAATGCCTCGAGGGTTCCCTCCCCCCTGCAGTGCCTCGGGGGTTCCCTCCCCCTGCAGTGCCTCGAGGGTTCCCTCCCCCTGCAGTGCCTCGAGGGTTCCCTCCCCCCTGCAATGCCTCGAGGGTTCCCTCCCCCTGCAGTGCCTCGAGGGTTCCCTCCCCCCTGCAGTACCTTGAGGGTTCCCTCCCCCCTGCAGTACCTCGGGTTCCCTCCCCCCTGCAGTGCCTCGAGGGTTCCCTCCCCCCTGCAGTGCCTCGGGTTCCCTCCCCCTGCAGTGCCTCGAGGGTTCCCTCCCCCTGCAGTGCCTCGAGGGTTCCCTCCCCCCTGCAGTACCTCGGGTTCCCTCCCCCCTGCAGTGCCTCGAGGGTTCCCTCCCCCCTGCAGTACCTCGGGTTCCCTCCCCCCTGCAGTACCTCGGGTTCCCTCCCCCCTGCAGTGCCTCGAGGGTTCCCTCCCCCCTGCAGTACCTCGGGTTCCCTCCCTCTGCAGTGCCTCGAGGGTTCCCTCCCCCTGCAGTGCCTCGAGGGTTCCCTCCCCCTGCAGTGCCTCGAGGGTTCCCTCCCCCCTGCAGTACCTCGAGGGTTCCCTCCCCCTGCAGTGCCTCGAGGGTTCCCTCCCCCCTGCAGTACCTCGAGGGTTCCCTCCCCCTGCAGTGCCTCGAGGGTTCCCTCCCCCTGCAGTGCCTCGAGGGTTCCCTCCCCCTGCAGTGCCTCGAGGGTTCCCTCCCCCTGCAGTGCCTCGAGGGTTCCCTCCCCCCTGCAGTACCTCGAGGGTTCCCTCCCCCTGCAGTACCTCGAGGGTTCCCTCCCCCTGCAGTGCCTCGAGGGTTCCCTCCCCCTGCAGTGCCTCGAGGGTTCCCTCCCCCTGCAGTGCCTCGAGGGTTCCCTCCCCCTGCAGTGCCTCGGGTTCCCTCCCCCCTGTGCCTCGAGGGTTCCCTCCCCCTGCAGTACCTCGGGTTCCCTCCCCCCTGCAGTGCCTCGGGTTCCCTCCCCCCTGCAGTGCCTCGGGTTCCCTCCCCCCTGCAGTGCCTCGGGTTCCCTCCCCCTGCAGTGCCTCGGGTTCCCTCCCCCTGCAGTGCCTCGGGTTCCCTCCCCCCTGCAGTGCCTCGGGTTCCCTCCCCCTGCAGTGCCTCGGGTTCCCTCCCCCCTGCAGTGCCTCGGGTTCCCTCCCCCCTGCAGTGCCTCGAGGGTTCCCTCCCCCTGCAGTGCCTCGAGGGTTCCCTCCCCCCTGCAGTGCCTCGAGGGTTCCCTCCCCCCTGCAGTGCCTCGAGGGTTCCCTCCCCCTGCAGTGCCTCGAGGGTTCCCTCCCCCTGCAGTGCCTCGAGGGTTCCCTCCCCCTGCAGTACCTCGGGTTCCCTCCCCCCTGCAGTGCCTCGAGGGTTCCCTCCCCCCTGCAGTACCTCGGGTTCCCTCCCTCTGCAGTGCCTCGAGGGTTCCCTCCCCCTGCAGTGCCTCGAGGGTTCCCTCCCCCCTGCAGTACCTCGGGTTCCCTCCCCCCTGCAGTGCCTCGAGGGTTCCCTCCCCCCTGCAGTACCTCGGGTTCCCTCCCCCCTGCAGTACCTCGGGTTCCCTCCCCCCTGCAGTACCTCGAGGGTTCCCTCCCCCTGCAGTGCCTCGAGGGTTCCCTCCCCCTGCAGTGCCTCGAGGGTTCCCTCCCCCTGCAGTGCCTCGAGGGTTCCCTCCCCCTGCAGTGCCTCGGGTTCCCTCCCCCTGCAGTGCCTCGGGTTCCCTCCCCCCTGCAGTGCCTCGGGTTCCCTCCCCCTGCAGTGCCTCGAGGGTTCCCTCCCCCCTGCAGTACCTCGGGTTCCCTCCCCCTGCAGTGCCTCGGGTTCCCTCCCCCCTGCAGTGCCTCGAGGGTTCCCTCCCCCTGCAGTGCCTCGAGGGTTCCCTCCCCCCTGCAGTGCCTCGGGTTCCCTCCCCCCTGCAGTGCCTCGAGGGTTCCCTCCCCCTGCAGTGCCTCGAGGGTTCCCTCCCCCCTGCAGTGCCTCGGGTTCCCTCCCCCCTGCAGTGCCTCGGGTTCCCTCCCCCCTGCAGTGCCTCGGGTTCCCTCCCCCCTGCAGTGCCTCGGGTTCCCTCCCCCCTGCAGTGCCTCGGGTTCCCTCCCCCCTGCAGTGCCTCGGGTTCCCTCCCCCCTGCAGTGCCTCGGGTTCCCTCCCCCCTGCAGTGCCTCGGGTTCCCTCCCCCCTGCAGTGCCTCGGGTTCCCTCCCCCCTGCAGTGCCTCGAGGGTTCCCTCCCCCTGCAGTGCCTCGGGTTCCCTCCCCCCTGCAGTGCCTCGGGTTCCCTCCCCCCTGCAGTGCCTCGAGGGTTCCCTCCCCCTGCAGTGCCTCGGGTTCCCTCCCCCCTGCAGTGCCTCGGGTTCCCTCCCCCCTGCAGTGCCTCGAGGGTTCCCTCCCCCCTGCAGTGCCTCGAGGGTTCCCTCCCCCTGCAGTGCCTCGAGGGTTCCCTCCCCCTGCAGTGCCTCGAGGGTTCCCTCCCCCCTGCAGTGCCTCGGGTTCCCTCCCCCCTGCAGTGCCTCGAGGGTTCCCTCCCCCTGCAGTGCCTCGAGGGTTCCCTCCCCCTGCAGTGCCTCGGGTTCCCTCCCCCCTGCAGTGCCTCGAGGGTTCCCTCCCCCTGCAGTGCCTCGAGGGTTCCCTCCCCCCTGCAGTGCCTCGGGTTCCCTCCCCCTGCAGTGCCTCGGGTTCCCTCCCCCCTGCAGTGCCTCGAGGGTTCCCTCCCCCTGCAGTGCCTCGAGGGTTCCCTCCCCCTGCAGTGCCTCGAGGGTTCCCTCCCCCTGCAGTGCCTCGAGGGTTCCCTCCCCCTGCAGTGCCTCGAGGGTTCCCTCCCCCCTGCAGTGCCTCGGGTTCCCTTCCCCCCCTGTGCCTCAGGTTCCCTCCCCCTGCAGTGCCTCGAGGGTTCCCTCCCCCTGCAGTGCCTCGAGGGTTCCCTCCCCCTGCAGTGCCTCGAGGGTTCCCTCCCCCTGCAGTGCCTCGAGGGTTCCCTCCCCCCTGCAGTGCCTCGGGTTCCCTTCCCCCCCTGTGCCTCAGGTTCCCTCCCCCTGTGCCTCGGGTTCCCTCCCCCACTGACTCAGGTTTCCGACTGTGCTCCCAGAAGTGACCTTTGTGAGTGTTCTTTTTGTTCATTCTGATAGGGTCCAGCCACCACTGTTGCCTTTTCGAGGACGGGGGAGTACTTTGCTTCCGGAGGCTCTGATGAACAGGTGGGTACAGCGTGGCTGAGGGTTGCGGGTGCGTTCTTGGTGCTCTCGGTGACCGTGAAGGCCGGCACGCAGGCAGGGTCTCAGGCCCAGGTCTTGACCTCTCGGAGCAGGTCTCCTGCAGGCCCCGCCCTGTGTCCATGTCTCGAAGCCCTTGCTGCTCAAACCAGCGTAGGGGAAGGAGTCCTGGCTGCTGTCGCCCTGAGAAAACTAAAAACAAAGTTTTTAAATAACTTCCTTCCCCTGCTTATAGTTGACTGACTAGGTGATCCCTGGATACTTGCTGTGCGTCTGCGGCCGGGCGATGTGGCCAGAGCTCCGCTCCTCATCTGGCCACAGGCAGCCCTGGCGCAGGCCCTCTCGTCACCTTTCTGTGGGTGAGGGACGAGTCCGCCGATGGCAGAGCTGGGGCTGCCCTGGAGCGTCCGTGCCGTCCTACCGGCCCTCTGCCTCGGGGCTGCCTGCGTGCTGCTGGGGGCGTCAGCATCTTCAAACTCCGGGGCTGCCCTGGAGCGTCCGTGCCGTCCTACCGGCCCTCTGCCTCGGGGCTGCCTGCGTGCTGCTGGGGGCGTCAGCATCTTCAAACTCCGGGGCTGCCCTGGAGTGTCCGTGCCGTCCTAGCAGCCCTCTGCCTCGGGGCTGCCTGCGTGCTGTTGGGGGCGTCAGCATCTTCAAACTCCGGGGCTGCAGAGAGGACAGGTGTGAGGAGGCCCGTCCTGTCCTGTCACCCTGTGTGCTGAGACCCTGGCGCCTCCTGCCAGCCGGCTAAGCACTGACAACGGTCTCCTGGCGGGCACCCTGGCTCTGGGTGCAGCCAGACTCTGGCATCGGAAAGGCCTGGGGAGCCCGCCGACCCCCCCATGGGAATCTCTCCCGGCCCCGGGTAGCAGTTCCTGACTGGGAGGTCGCCCAGAGTGTCCCCCCCTGAGGCCATGCCTTGCAGCTGGCACTGCTCAGCGCAGGAGGAGCCCCAGCCTCCCAGTGGGGGTAAAAGATGGCAGGTGTCTTCCCACACCTGTGCTAACCAGACAAGGAGGAGAAGAGCAAGGGGACCCCTGAGCCTTCCCTGGCGTGAGGCCTGGCTCGTTGCTGGGACAGGGAACCAGAGGGTGAGTTCACACCAGCAGGAAAGTCCCGGCAGACACGCGCCGCCTGGAGGCAGCCTGGGAGAGGCAGGCTTCCGTCCACTCTGGCCCGGCCTCAGGCTGCGCCGGAGCCTTGTGGTGACATCTCTCCACGTCTCTGATGGCTTTTTTTTTTTTTTTTTTTTTTTTATCCTCACCCGAGGACATTTTTCCATTTTTTGTTCAGGTAGAGTGGGAGGGAGAGAGAGGAACAGAGAGAGAGAAACATCGATGTGAAAGGGACACACCGAGTGGCTGCCACCCGCACGACCAACCAGGGCCGGGGACAAACTGCAACCGAGGTACATGCCCTTAGCGGGAACCGAACCCGGGTCTCTCAGGACCGCAGGCCGACGCTCTAACCGCTGAGCCAAACTGGCCAGGGCTCTGATGGCCTTTTACTGTTGGAATCGACTCCACAGTAGGACGTGCCCCGTTGCACAAGGACCCCACGAACAAGGTTGAGTGTCCCATTCTGTTTGTGGTGGGGACAGGTGAGACCCCGGGTGCCCATCTCTGGGAAGCAGCCCAGGTGGTTCTGCTCTGGGAGTGGCGAGGAGCCTCCCAAGGGACCAGCGGTGCTATGTCCCCTCACGAGTGGAGTGCCCCGGGGCACGTTGATGGTCATCCTTATAGAATCCACGGTCGCTGTCCTGGGGGTGGCCCCACACAGGCAGCCACGTGAGGTAATGCCTCCCAGCAGGGGGTGCTCTGCTGCCCGGGAGCCTCAGGGCATGCAGGTCCTCGGATGACCGCGATGTGGATATAGGGGTGTTGCCAGCTTCTCCCTGGGGCCAGTGTCTGCCCCCCCGTGAGCCTCACTGCAGCCCTGTGAGTTGGGAACTAGGATCATCCTCTTTTCCCAGAAGAGGAAACTGAGGCACAGAGAGGTCGAGTCCCTTGCCTGGAGCTGCACTCAGGTGGCCTGGGCCGAATCCATGTCAACCACCCCTCACAGTGCGGTGGCCAGGCCACCACCCCGGCGCCCCTGCCTCGGTGGGGAGACTGAGTGACTAGTGACTGGCACCTGAAGGAAGCGGAGGGCCTGATGAGAATCGGCAGGGCCCGCAGGCGTCTCGGAAGGTGGTGTTGAATAGACCCTTGGCCCCAGGAGCCAGCTGCATGGAGCTCGGGCCGGGGGCAGCCGGGCAGAAGGGCCAGCAAGTGCGAGGCCTGTCCCTAAAGCCTGCCCTCTGGGGAGGTCGGGCAGGTCCCAGCGTCGACTTGGGCTGTCAGGTGGGACCTCTTTTCTTCCTCTGCCCAGAGCTTTGGGGCGGCCTCTTGGCCTGTTTTCTCCGTGGAGCGGCAAGTGGTTTTTCTCCCCTAATCCTGTGTGTGTGTTCTCTGCAGGTGATGGTTTGGAAGAGCAACTTTGACGTCGTAGATTATGGAGACGCCGTGAAAGTGCAGAGGCGCCCAGCCACGCCGGCTGCCTCCTCTGGGAATCTGGTAAGTGGCCTGCAGGCAGCATGTCTGAGCCTGTGGTTCAGGCTGCCTGGGTCATGGTGAGCGCTCAGGGCTCCGCGACCGTGTGGGGTTGGAGGCTGGGCCGGTCACAGGGAAGGGACTCGAGTAAGATCTTCGTCATGTAGCTGTTAGTGCTTCGGCCCGGTGGGGCTGCTTTTTTCAGACCTGGAGTGAGCAGACGAGACGAGGAGGCCTAGGGTAGCGAGACCCTGGGCTCGGCCCCCACCTGCACCTGCTGGGGCACGGCCCGAGGCGAGGGGGCCCTGGGTTCCCAGAGGGCACGGAGCCGGAGCCACGGCTGGGCTGGTAGCACAGCTCTGGCCCTGTCGCTCTCACTTCCCGTTGCAGAAAATCCTTGGAAAGGAAGTTCCTCAGCTACAAGCCATTTTTAGTGCCTTTGTTGGTAAAAGGGCATTCAGTGTTCTTGACTTAAAATAGTTAATGGTATTTTTTTGTAGATGTTTTGGGGAAAAGTGATAACTTATATGGTTTCAGTGTATAAGGTCGCATTGAGCTTTGGCCGAATCAGCACTGAGCTGAGGGTCTGGGTAGGCGAGGGCCTAGGCTGCAGTGGCTGCAGTGGCTGCAGGCTGGTAGCTGTGCCCTGGCCCTGCAGGCAGCACGGCCTCTCCCACACCCGGAAACTGGCCCGGACAACAGGAAGCGGCTTGCCCAAGGCCCCGGTGAGCCAAGGCTGGCCCAGAATAGAACCAGGAAGCCTGAGTCCATCCAGCCTTTGGCTCCAGCAAAGGGACCCTCCCCACGCTTTGCCCTTCCTCATCCCAGGGGAGCGTGCACCTGTCTCTCGGGCTGGTGACCACCAGCAAGGGGCGAACCTCTGCTCCTTTGCTTCGGGTTGCTAGGAAACCTATTGGACAAGCTGCCTCTCATGCTTCAGTCCTAGCTCAGAGGTGGGGTGGGGCACCCTTGCTTCCTAGAGCTGTGGGGCCTGGTAATCTTGGAAGAGGCCTGTGGTGGGGAAGCCAGCAGGACAGGCAGGGCGGGCACCCCGACGTGGGCCTCAAGCGGGGGAAAGCATGTGGGCTCGGGTCTGAACCCCGTTGTGTGGTTCCAGGCAAAGCACCCCTCTTCGCAAGCCGGGGTTTCTGACACAAGCCCGTATTGTAGAAATGCGTGGCCTGTCAAACTCTGTAACCTTCCAGAGCGAAGGCAAACAAAGGACCTTTAGCAACTTGGTTTCTCACTTGAATTGGAGAATGGCCTGGCCCTTCCAGCCTGTGGCTTGCCTGGCCGGGATTGTGCCTAGTACGTGGTCTGGTGGCCGGCCAGGGGCTTGGCTTCTCCGGGAGCCCGCGAGCACTGCCGCTGTGCCCCACGAGCTCTCTGACCTGGGCCTCACCCTCCAGCCCTGTGCACGCCAGGCCTCGGCCCTAAGGCCACGTGGGTCACGCCTGGGCATTTGCGGATTGCAGGAAGCCCATCGGGCCAGGTGCCGGGTCTTGAATTCCTGGCCACGTGCTTGTTCAAGCGTGGCCGTCAAAGCCAGAGGGGCAGACCAGGGCAAGGACAGCCCGGGCGCCCTGACAGCCGCTCTGCCTGGAAGCCCTGCCCGGGAGCCCGGCCCGCCCGCGTTCAGCTCTCACTCGGAACGGAGGTCGTCTCGAGCCCGCTCTGGACAGCTCTGCTCTCGCCGGAGCTGTTCCCATCGCTGGTTGAAATTCACAGCTTATTTTTAGGCGCTTTTCATGTTGAAAAGCAAAAGCCACTTCCCAGCCCTTCAGAATGAGAATAATGGGTTCCATTTTCTGTCTGTTCTCGGCTGCGTTGTCAGGAGGGGTTTTCGGGCGGTGGCTGGGGGGCTGTCTCTGCTTGGAGGGCTGCAGAGGGAGGGCTGAGGGTGGCCAGGAAGCTTCGAGGCCGGAGAGAGGTCGGGAGGTTCTGAGCAGGAGTGCCTCCCGGGGGCGCGCGGGGCCCGCAGGCGCCCGCCTGGCTGGTTCTGGCGTCGAGCTCTGTCCCTGCTGTGTGCCTGCCCTCTGCCCTCTGCCCTCTGCCCTCTGCCCTCATCTGCACCGTCTTCTCCCTCCTGCTGCCTGTGCTTGGGGGCCTGTCCCTGAGGCGTAAGGGCCACTGCGTCTTGGCTGACCTTGGGTTTGGCACCTGCCCCTCGAGTCCCAGCTGCCATAGGACTGATTCTGGCTTTACCATGGAAGCATTTTAAAACCACTTTGAACAGCAAAGATTCATGTGTTCTTGCTCTCCCCCCAAATGTTTCTGAGCCCAGCGTGCAGAATTGGGAAGGAAGGTTGTATGGGACAGGGTGTGTGTGGGGGGGGCAGAATTCTGGGTAATTCAGTACAACTGGAAACCCACTGACCACGTTCTCAGGGCTGGCTGTCCTCCAGTGCAGACAGTAACCTTGACTGCAGGGCTGGGGGCCTTTCGCCACGCACCTCAGAGCGGGGGATGCCAGGTCCTCCTTGCTGACGTTCCATGAGGTGGCACATGCCAGCCGGCACTTGGAACTGTGCCTGGCACCTGGCGAGTGCTCACCAAGCCTTAGCTATTTTTAAAATGTTCCTTTTCCTTCCTCTGTCTGACCAAGAGCTGGGTGAACCCCCTGCCCAACCAGGGTAATTGTGTATTCAAAACCTACAGCAGGGCCCTGGCCGGTTTGGCTCAGCGGTTAGAGCGTCGACCTGCGGTCCGGAGAGACCCGGGTTCGGTTCCCGCTAAGGGCGCGTACCTCGGCTGCAGTTTGTCCCCGGCCCTGGTCGGTTGTGCGGGTGGCAGCCACTCGATGTGTTCCTTTCACATCGATGTTTCTCTCTCTCTCTGTTCCTCTCTCTCCCTCCCACTCTACCTGAACAAAAAATGGAAAAATGTCCTCGGGTGAGGATAAAAAAAAAAAAACAAAAAAAACAAAAAAAAAAACCTACAGCAGGGCCCTGGCCGGTTTGGCTCAGCGGTTAGAGCGTCGACCTGCGGTCCGGAGAGACCCGGGTTCGGTTCCCGCTAAGGGCACGTACCTCGGTTGCAGTTTGTCCCCGGCCCTGGTCAGTCGTGCAGGTGGCAGCCACTCGATGTGTTCCTTTCACGTCAATGTTTCTCTCTCTCTGTTCCTCTCTCTCCCTCCCACTCTACCTGAACGAAAAAATGGGAAAATGTCCTCGGTGAGGATAAAAAAAAAACCTACAGCAGGCAGGGTGAAGGCCAGCAGGCAGGAGGGGCCGTTCTGACCGGTCATTTTCCATGTTGGTTCCGCTCTGCAGGCTGTCCTGTGGGGCCCTCGGGGGCTGTGCTTCCAGACGAGAGTCAGTCTCCTCTCCCGCCCCCAGGGCGCCCCAGCCTCAGCTGTCCCTGGAGGAGGAGGCCGGGGTAGCCTGAGACTTCTGACCTAAGGCCCTAGCCTTCCTGAGGATGGCCTTCTCTTCCTGGCTGCTCTGGGTCTGAGGGTGGAGGCCGGCCAGTCCCACACCTCACTTCAGCTCCCACAGTGTGTTCTGGGGTGCTGCACAGGGCTGGGCCTGACGGGGTTCTTGGGCCCATTCCCTGGCCCAGAGGGTCTTGGCCCTGGATCTTGCCTGACCGGGGTCCTGGGGGTCCTGGGTGATGGCTACTGAAGACCTGGGCCTGGCCCAGGCTCTAAGCCGGAGGAGCCGTAGCATCGAGGGGGGGCCGTTTGCACCTGCCCCACAGATCCGCCTTCTCGCCTGGCAGCATGGACGTGGGTCTCCTGCCGACAGCACAGGTTTCTGGCTGGCGTTTGCTTCCCACAGAGAGGAGAGTGTGGTTGGGGTAGTGCTCGGCAGACGGGGTGTTGTGGGTGTTCGGAGCAGGAGTGAGCGTCCTCTCTCCACGCCTCGGAGAGGAGCCTCTTCCTCCAAGCCCAGCTCTGGCTCCGAGTTTTCCAGACTGTTCAGGGGGCTCTTGGCAGCAGGTGAGTCGGAGGACGCCAGGCAGGCAGGCATCGTAGGGAAGTGTTGGTTTCCTGGGGCCCAGCTCCCCGCAAGGCGTCTGGGCCTGGGCTCGGGTCATCTGTGGGGTCAGTCGAGACGTGTCTGTCATGTGCCAGCGGCTCTGGTCTGCTCACACTGCTGAGTGGCCGGCCTTGTCCACAGGCCCCTCCATCGATGTGAGCGCGCCTGGGGAGAAGCAGTTTGGCAGTCGTAGGACCTGGCGGGGCCTGGGCTTTAGGAGCTAACTTGGGAACAGTGGGGCTTTGTTTTCATGCTTCCGGGGACTTACCTGGTGGCACATCTCGGTGGGACTCTGGGGGGTAATTCATTTCTGCCCGTCTGCTGCGCAGAGGACCAGCCTACCTGCTGGTGGGTGGCCCCGGCCCCAACCAAGCTCATGCCTCTGGCTTGAGGGGCAGGTCTCCGCCCCTTTGCCAGCAAAACTAAGAGGCCCTTGACTGGAAAAGAGCAAGAGGGACTCCATGTCTCAGTGGAGAAAGGAGCCCAGTGTCCTCAGCCCCTGGGATGGGTACCCAGACCCAGTGCAGGGCAGGTGCTGGGGACTCAGACACAGCTGTTCTCACCTGTGCAGACCCCTGCCCACACTGCTGGGGTCCCACCGTGGAGAAGCCGGACCCCCTGTGCCCATCCCCATTGTTCGCTCATCGAGATCTCAGGGTTCCTCTTCCCGGGCATCTTCAGGTCTCCAGCGATGGCCTGTGCAGGAGACTGGCCGGCCGGCCCCTCTCTGGGAAGGGCTGGAAAGGGCTCTCGAGCAGCCCCTCCCGGGAGGTGGGTGAGGCGGGAGGTTCCGGCACCGGGCGAGCTGTGTGCCTGCACCGTGGTCCTCGCGGAGGCTGGGCCTGGGGCTTCTGCTGTAGCCCCAGCTGGGTCTCTGCCCCTGCCCGCTCCCCACCAGCCGCCTTGCTGGCATTTTCCAGGCGCAGGCGCAGGCGCAGGCGCAGGCTGCGGGAGACGTGCTCCGTGTGGCAGAGGCCTCAGGCCGGCGCCTCCTCCACGCCCGCCAGCATCACCCCACCTCGCCTGCGTGGAGTCAGGGAAAGT